GAAGAGAACTAATATTTTTAACAGTTACAGATTATGCTTACAGCAAAATTTAACAAGAGCTGTCGGTAGGACAGCAACGCTCGACTATTCTTAGTGTTTGATAGTAAAAAAAATGCTTGATACAGTTACCTCCTCCTGTTTACAGGTTGGGGTCATGATGGTGAACAAGTGTGCAAAGTTTCAAAGCCATATGTCAATGGACTTGAAAATATTTGAACTATTACAAAAACTTTAACGTAAATTCTAAGTCGAAAAAGGGGCATAATTCTGTCAAAATGCTTGATAGAGTTACCTCCTCTTGTCTACAGGTTGGGGTCATGATGGTGAACAAGTGTGCAAAGTTTCAAAGCCATATGTCAATGGACTTTGAAAATATTTGAACTATTACAAAAACTTTAACGTAAATTCTAAGTCGAAAAAGGGGCATAATTCTGTCAAAATGCTTGATAGAGTTACCTCCTCTTGTCTACAGGTTGGGGTCATGATAGTGAACAAGTGTGCAAAGTTTCAAAGCCATATGTCAATGGACTTTGAAAATATTTGAACTATTACAAAAACTTTAACGTAAATTCTAAGTCGAAAAAGGGGCATAATTCTGTCAAAATGCTTGATAGAGTTACCTCCTCTTGTCTACAGGTTGGGGTCATGATGGTGAACAAGTGTGCAAAGTTTCAAAGCCATATGTCAATGGACTTTGAAAATATTTGAACTATTACAAAAACTTTAACGTAAATTCTAAGTCGAAAAAGGGGCATAATTCTGTCAAAATGCTTGATAGAGTTACCTCCTCTTGTCTACAGGTTGGGGTCATGATGGTGAACAAGTGTGCAAAGTTTCAAAGCCATATGTCAATGGACTTTGAAAATATTTGAACTATTACAAAAACTTTAACGTAAATTCTAAGTCGAAAAGGGGCATAATTCTGTCAAAATGCTTGATAGAGTTACCTCCTCCTGTCTACAGGTTGGGGTCATGATGGTGAACAAGTGTGCAAAGTTTCAAAGCCATATGTCAATGGACTTTGAAAATATTTGAACTATTACAAAAACTTTAACCTAAATTCTAAGTCGAAAAAGGGGCATAATTCTGTCAAAATGCTTGATAGAGTTACCTCCTCCTGTCTACAGGTTGGGGTCATGATGGTGAACAAGTGTGCAAAGTTTCAAAGCCATATGTCTATGGACTTTGAAAATATTTGAACTATTACAAAAACTTTAACATAAGTGGTTACGCCGACGCCGACGCTCGGGTGACTGCAATAGCTCTACTTATTCTTATCGAATAGTCGAGCTAAAAATGAAGTAACACAACTAATTTCACAGGACTAGCACGTTTACTCTATATCAACAGAACAACTTCAAGCTAAGGTAACTGTTCAAAGGTGAAGATCTAACTGACTAATCATTTACTAAAAGTTTATAAAGCCATATATCTGCTGCAAAAATTAGGTGTTTAAATTTTATAAAAGACTACTTCGAAAATGCCTGTATGAAATTAATATGGTAGTATGTTGTCTTTAGAGCAAATCACTTGTGCACAAAATCTCTGCCAAAAGGTTAATAAAACCCTATTTAAAAGAGCAACCCAAAGTTATTAGCTTTGCCACCAGTACAGAGCTTCTACCTCTGTCAAGTCTGACCAGACTTTACACTGTTGGCTGGCAAATTTCTTATTTTTATCTTGATATCCCAAATTTTGATACAAGAAAATTCCAAAAATCGAAACTATATGAGTTTGTCCATTAAATACAGTAAGTTAGGAGTAAATGTAAAAGAACATAAAAATCCCACCTGTAAATGCGTCTAGGGTTATGATATTGTGACAATATTGTGCTGAGTTAACAATCTGTCTCCAATGCTTGTTTAATCGTGTACACAGATGTACAAGTTTATACTGTAGAGGGAATCTCTCCGCTGACAACAATACTGCCGTCTGCTGCTCCTTCACCTTCAAATATAGTCATTATTATCATTATTATCTTTATAGTCATTATTATCATTATTATCTTTATATCTATAACAACTAAAAAATATTGTTTTCCTAAATATCAGAATATGAAAAAAAGACAGAAGATAAGACAGTAATATAGATATTAAAATAATGCCATTAATACCTTATAATGTATTAAATAACAAAGATAGTTTCATCTGCATCATTTCATTTTCACCATAATTACAAATTTAAGAAAGATAATTATAATAACTAGAACTGCCACTATCATGGCGTGAAAACCCCCGCATACCACTTTGTCAGAATCAACAGTGGCCATTTAGAGCTCAAGGACAACCTCCCTGCCAAATCTGAGGTTACTAAGCCAGTGCATTGCTAAGTTATGTATTCTACATGCTTCAAATGTGAAAATGTCAATACATTGCGGACAGGACATTCTTTAGCAATTGAGAAGAAAAGCTTTTTTTTTGTCAAGGTCCCTGTGACCTTGACCTTTGACCCAGTGACTTCAAAATCAATAGGGGTCACCTTATAGTCATGATCAACATCCATACCAAATATGAAGACTGTGGGTCAAAGGAATCTTAAGTTAATGGGTGAACAAACTTTTTGAAGTCAAAGTCCCTATGACCTTGACCTTTGATCCAGTGACCTCAAAATCAAAAGGGGTCATCTACTAATCATGATCAACATCCATGCCAAATATGAAGACTGTGGGTCAAAGGAATCTAAAGTTATTGGGCAGACAAACTTTTTGAAGTCAAAGTCCCTGTGACCTTGACCTTTGACCTGGTGACCTCAAAATCAATAGGGGTCATCTACTAATCATGACTAACCTCCATGCCAGGTCAAAGGGGTCTTAAGTTATTGGGCGGACAAGCTTTTTGAAGTCAAGGCCCCTGTGACCTTGACCTTTGACCTGGTGACCTCAATATCATTAGGGGTCATCTACTAATCATGACTAACCTCCATGCCAAATATGACGACTGTAGGTCAAAGGAATCTTAAGTTTTTGGGCGGACAAGCTTTTTGAAGTCAAGGCCCCTGTGACCTTGACCTTTAACCTGGTGACCTCAAAATCAATAGGGATCATCTACTAATCATGACTAACCTCCATGCCAAATATGAAGACTAAGGGTCAAAGGAATCTTTAGTTATTGGGCGGACAAGAAAAAACCGACGGACAGCCGGACGGACGGACGAGCTGATTCCAGTATACCCCCCTTACAACTTTGTTGTGCAGGGGTATAATAATACGCTACAACTACACAAAATTAATACTTAGCTTGCCATTCTTTCATTTGGTCACAAATAAAAAAGGAAAATAAGCAATGCAAAAAAATATATTGCAAATTTGAATTTAAATTTAACATTTTGTAATACAATGTATTAATCAAGTATTAACAGCTGATATATTACTTATAAAGTGATTTTTTTTTCGTTTGTCTCAAAAAAGCTGTATTTATGCCTTTTGTTCTAATATAGAAAAAAATTTCTCAATCATACCTTGAACTGTTGTATCTGTCTTTGAAAGTTGTCTTGGTATTGACTCAATTTATCTGACCAAATAGAGTGATCTGCCCCTGATGTGGTAGAGCCAGTGTCTACATCTCCCATAATCCCCTTCACTGGCTGCTCCATAATACTCTATATTGAAAATGTGCAACTAATTAAAATGGTGTTGGAAGGAAAAAAAAAATATATATATATATAAGTGTGGACAAATAATTATTTGACATCAAATTTTGGCCTTATGACCTTAAACAAGCACATAGGAAGCATGGGTTCTGCACATGGGAACATTTTGCCAAGTTTGAAGAAAATCCTTCAATAGGTTGACACAAAATCTCTGACATTTGACCGTAATTGATGACCTTGAGCCAGCACAGCAGAAGCATGGATTGTGCATATCACCTTGTTGAAGTGAACATAGGAGCCAAGTTTAAAGAGTATAAGATTTATAGAGCAGACAAGAAATTTTGGAGAGGGCTGACTAAACTACCAACACTATAACATGGTTTCCAGTATAGACCACCTACTTCTCATTTATGTGATGGAGGTATAATGATAAACTAAAAACTTCTTTCCAAAATAATGAAAGAAATATTCAGCATTGAAAAAATAAAAAAAGTTTCAGTTTATACCAATTTATTTTTAGTTTGATTGTGTTGGAAGCTATAAGCTTATTGAAATACTCTTGAATCTCGAATATGGGAAAAAAAGTATTAAAGACTATATTTTGTTTTACCTGAAAATGTTTTATATGTTTATGCAATGTTCTGTGTGTTTTCTCAGTAGCCTGTTTCAGTGCCCAATAATTAATGTCTGACCAGCGTGCAATCTTTACAAATCCCTGAAAATATCAAACAATAATACACATGTATTTAATCAAATTTAGAGGTTATGACATGACATAACAAATGCATTATTAAACCATTACATTTATACATCAGTGTTTTATTCTATGAATATCTAAATTTCATACATGTCATCATGTTTTTTGTTTGTTTGGTTTAATGGTGCACAAATAAGGTCATATGACGCAGAAACAGGGAAGATGTTTTTGGCTAACATCTGGTGTAACAAACTTAAAGCAACACCAGGGGTCAAAATCTCATGACCAGCTGGAGCTAAGAAATGCATAGACTCCACTTATTCTAACCCAATTAGTCGTCTCTTATGATTATGCACTGTTAAACTGTGGCTGCAATTCTAATGCCTCAACCAGAAGAAGCAATCATTCTATCACTAGGGCACACATATTCATGGTAAATATTAATGAAAATATTAAACATTTTAACGTAATAATATCTATTATATTTACTCTTGGGCAGCCTCCAAATCTACTGTTGGCTGTTAAATGTCAAACCTCTATAATTAACAACTGACAATTCCAACACTCAAAACAGGGCAATGTTGCATATTGCAGATCAATCATCCTTAGTCTGCTAGCGGCAACTAATTCTACCCATGTGACCACTGCAGACCATCATCACCTGGTAAATCCGTCCCATCTGATCATGATTATGGTCTACACTGTTAGTTATTCAACTAGTAATTTACCTAAAAATGATGAATGGTTTTGTCCAGATTGAAGGATGGGCAATCCATTTGAGATATATAGGGTGGTAGGTATTAAAGACAATGACTAGAAACTTTGTAAACTTTGTTTACATACCTTAAGCTCTTTCTCCAAAGGTGCCCTCTGTCTATCAAGCTCTGCTTGTATGGATGGACTAAACCTAGAGTAAAACTGGTACATATTCCATAACACATTCTGCAGATCCTTTCTTACTGTTTCCATTGTTTCTGACAGTTGTGATTCTGTTGTTGTTATGGCAACAGATTGACCCTCAAATGTTGTCATGGTAACCAGATTGCAATGGAAACTCAGCAACATTTCAAGTCTAGTTTGAAAGTCACCGAGGGTACCTTGTTCGACAAAATGTTTCAGTGATTTGATTACATCATCCAGAGTGCTAGCTTCATCTGACTCCTGCAAACAGAAGACAATTATATCATAATACATGTATATTAAAAAGAAAACCTATATTAAAAAGAAAACCTATCATATGTATATCTATTAATCTTCAAACAAAACAATACTATTTACATAATCATTTAAATGGGGAAAAGGCTATTGATAGTTTTAAGATACTGTTTTTTTAAGCATGTTATTAAAGCTGCCATCCATAAAAACAAAATCAATGTTCCTGTTGATTGACGAGTCCATTTAAGATAAAGCCAACTTGCTGCTTAAGGTTAACCACATACTGACAGAGGGATAGACATCCGGATGGAGGGATCAATTACTATATGCCTGGGGGCATAAAAAGAAGTAAAATAGAAATGCTTTGCTTTTGATATTTTACAGAAATGGTATTACTAGTTCTATATGTTGTATTCTATTTTTCCAAACCTGGTATGTTAAATATACATGTACTAAAATATACATGTACTAATAAAAGTGTATGGTTAACTTGTACTTGTATTTTTTAAAAAAACACACCAAAAACGCCAAAACACTCTGTGACATCAATCCTACCTGAGGTTGTAAAATGGACATAACAACTTGATATAGATGGAACCACCATTTACTGGCTGAGGATCTATATTTATGTAACTCTGTGTCAAGTGCATTCAGCCAACAACTGTAAAATTAGGAAAACATAATTTATGGTTACACTTATCTGATATGTCAGTTATAACTGTAGTATAATCAAATAGGCAGTTCATTTTATAAAATGCTTTAAAAGAATTGGCCCTCTTAACTTCTTATGGCCATTATAACAGATCTATGCGACCATTACATAGTCCAGTCTGAACAAATGCATAACCTGACACTCATTGAACGCCACTCTTCTTTGATGATCTTGTTTTTCATATTTTTAGCAATGAAATGAAGGTCATTCTTGTGTGCTAGAAACAATGAAACTTGTGGATTGTTTTAGAGTCTGTACACAAATATGTAATGAAGTTGTTGGAATCAGAAGAAGCTTACCTTAATTCTAGTTTTCTCCATTGTACTATAAGTCTTGATATATCAGCTAACTGGGTTGCCATGGAAACATGTTGGGAAGCATTGCTCTCCCAATCCTGCAATTACAATAATGTTTATGTGACTTATTAAGACTTCAAAACTAAGCTGGTTTATTTAGGCCTGCAAGATGTTAAAAGAGCCCTTCAAAAAGATGCTTTGTTGACTTTTACAGTAATCATTCAACGTATTACCGCATTACCATTATTTCTGCATGCTTAAAACTACAATGGTTAGTATCTTACATGAAAAGCCACAATCTGATTACAATCAGCTCCTAAATAACGGCACACATCCGATGACCACTGATAGGTTACCACCTTCTTGTTATATTTCAAACAGCTTATCATCGGCGAGCATGCACAATTTTGGAAGTGATAAAGTTTCTAATTTTAACTGCTGGAAAACCAATACTGAGTAGATAATTTCATGATTTCAAGAACAAACATGGCATTGTCCATACAGCCGGCAGGTAAACTGGTAAAACAATCTTGCCCTTTAAATGAAACAAATATGGTGGCATTCAGATCTTCATGCAAGAAATAACTTAAATCAGATTGGAAAACGGACAAAGACAAAATGTTATAAATACCTGTGCTGTTTGTAGAAGTAACTCAATACCAGTAAGAAATTTCATCACAGGACTTGTGATAGGGAAACTTTCTATTCTTTCCATTATCTCACACAACTGTAAATAAATTAAATATACAACTGCAAATAATTACATACATAAGAATGAATTAAGTTGCTTAGACAATAATAAATTGCTAAACTACATGTACCTTAATTCCAAGACAATATTGAACAAACAAAAAAACACAGTACAAATTCAAAATTTGTTTAGTTGATACTTATGACTAAGAAATTTTGTACATTCTTAATGGAAAAAAAACAAACATGGATAATGATGATTCTATTTTTCACAGTGGGAAAAGATCACAAGAAACACTATGATTTCTATTTGAAAGTAAAACAGTCAATATTGTAGAATATGACAGCATTTTTAATACAGCTACAAAAGTGTATAACAATCTTAATCAAGATTTAGTATTATTATGGACACGGTTTAAAAAGCGCCATTTTACAGCACAGAACCAGTTATACAAAAAATGTGTGTTTTCACAAAAAATCTTATTGATTTCTTGCTATGCTATGAATTTTTTTGTAAATTATATATATTATGTCATAGATTGTATTAAACTTGTGCTTGTGAACTATCAAGAATGAGAGACAAATACATGATGTATAAATCATTATATTCATTTTACCAATGACATCAAACAAGTTAGCATAAAATTACATGAATCTAACTTGTTTTCAACATTACCTGTTTTAGAGTAGGATGGTCAGGCCATTCTTGCTGAAGTTCATGGACACGTACACGTAGACAATTTAGAACAGGCAAACATTGTATAACTTCAGGAACATTGGTATCATGGTAAATGTCATAAACATTTCTGTCAGGCACAAGTGGACTTGAACACTGAAATTATTTACACAGATAAAAATAACATTAAAAGCTTTTTAGAGTGTTATTCCTGTTCCTCCTGGTTGAAGCTTACATCAGGATTAACATTTTTCCAATCATTTGAGCAGTTAAGGAATGGCAGTGAAGGAAATGGTTTTCAGTCAGTAAAATTCTGTATCTACTTGACAAGTTCAAGTAAAAAACATAGAAGAAATATGTCACAGTCAAAAACTTCATTTATTTGGAGTAATATTGGTGTATAAATTTGTGTAATATTATATACCATCAACATGTGGATCTTGGTTCAAGTCGGTCTAGATGCACATTAAACACATAGTGAAAGCCCTAAATAAACAAATGCAATCATGACAAATGAAATTTTACTTACTTCCTGCTTTCAAAATGACATATGAACAGAAAATTTTCAAATAGGAGAAAGGTGTCTGATTACAAGTTTGTCTTTGTGGTTATATAATTGTTTACCTGTTGGTTGGCTTGAAGAATATAGAACTGTTGTACTGCTGACACCACCAGATGTCCTCCCAATAGCTCTTTATCTACACTACTACCTAAAATACAAGATGTATTGTTACTTGTTGAAAACGAGTAAATAAATGGTTTAATTTCTTTCTTTTTTTTCAACATTTACTTCCTTTTTAATATCATGACATATCTATGACTCATATAACTCTGGAACGTAAATTTTCTAAACTAAAAGTATGAATTTTTAATTTAAGTATTAATACTAAATGGACTTACATTCTGTAATTTACAATGAAAAACATTGACTATTATTTAATCATGTGAAAAAATAGATATTCATGCATGATATGTATACATTTATATGCTCTTTTGATCTAAAGAATTCTTAACAGAAAGATTTTGGGTCAACTTAAGCCTAAAAAGTAATCTTTTTTGTTGAAAATGTTCTTTAAACATGAATATAATTGTGCTTTTGTCTACTGTGTTTAACTAATATGATTAACTTGCATAGGAGCACTATAAACTTACTCAGAACATCTATTAGTTGCTTGGACAGACAAGAAGCTGCAGTGTAACTTGACAGAATTGGTTTGATCCAATCATGTAGTTGCAGAGGCTCAACTTTGATTGGCTGATACCAGTCTGTGTTGACCAGGTGCTTGTAAAGCTTCTGATAGACAAGGAAGATCTGTGTCATCTGTGTGCTTGTCACTTTGAAAGTAACATCTGCTGCAGCTTCTGTTACAGGTTCATCTTCCTTACGAACAGTGGAATCTTCAAAAGATTTAGGTCCAACCAGATCAACAAAGTCTTGTGTAAATTGAGGGAAGTTTTCCTGGAAGTCGGCCTCTTGTTGCTCCTCCTCACTTCTCTCATCTCCATGTACCTGTGACTTGTAGCGATACAGAACAGCATCCTCTTCCTCCTTGGCCTTCCTTTCCTCTTCTGCCTGTTGCCATGACAACACATACATCTCCAGAATCTTGGTCAAGGTCATCACAAGGTCAGAGGTCAACTCCTTCCTTATGCTGACGGCATTGTGTACCATAAACAAGCAACTAGATAACACACTGAAAAATAATTATGTTTTACTTTGATCTTAAAAATGTCTGCTATCATGATAATCAAAATAGAATTTGCATCTTTGAACTATAAGGCTTTAAACAACACTTTAAAATGCCTAACATCAAAATAATATTTTTTGATATGACCTCCCGCTGATCCCTGAAATAAAATTTCTATGTTCAATTTTGTATGATGAGTAAATTATTCATTAAACTTTCTCCAAAAGCATAATTATGATCTTTGATCCAATAACAATTATGATCTTTGATCCAATAACATTACCATTGAAATAATGATTTTTTGTATCTTGGGTATTTGTTTTTATGCTGATTTTAACACTCATTTGGTCATGTCTCGGCAATCTGTCCACCTAATATGCTTTCCTGGATAACAAACCAGTGTTTATCAATATCTCCACAAGTGCCCAACTACTATTTCATCAGCAGTGAGAGTCTAAATAACCAATAGACACCATGTCCGGGATTGATTGTCATGGAGAAATTTCATCTTGCCCGAGGATCAAACCAGAAACCAGAAGTTACAATTCTACTGCTCTTCTTATTCAGGTAAGAACATTCTATAATTTTACCTGTCTGAAGCAACTTGTGACAGGTTAATTTCCTCAGATTCTGATTGAGAAAGAGCTGTTTTCATCAAACTGAGGCTGGTGTCAGAGGTCAAGGTCATTGCTAAATGATGACATGAAGGTTGTTGATGTGACAAAGTTGGAAACTTGCCCACTAAAACAACAATCTTCTCTAGGCAAGCTTTTGCTGTCTGAAATTAAAAGAATGATAACTTTTCTATATGATATTATCGACATAAGTCATGAAATCTTTGATATATTAACACAAGGTTACTACAGATAAGTTTTTTACACAATGTCATGTTAAAGATATTGAATGACTTTAAACAAAAACAGATTTCTTTGAGACATTTATATACATGTATACTTACTGCTACATCAGCTGTTTTGACAAGTTGTTTCAGCAGAATATTTTGTCTAGCTGTATGAGACAATACACTCATACCATGGACCATCTGAAAAAGTAAACAATCAATAAATATATCTCATAAATGAGACCATTAACTCTAAACCTCCTGAATTCCTTCAATGGACTTGTGCAGGTTACATTTCCGAACTGTTCATTTTTATTATTGGATGAAAATCCTAAGTTGGTCAGGCAACTGTATTAGGGTCTGGTCAGACTGCATGGTTGAACAGACTGGTCTGGCTCTATGTTGGTGACAACGGATACAATTAAACCATTGCCGTTCCAACACTGGAAGGATTAAGAACCGTAATATTATCAAGATTTTTTTTTACTCAACAAATCACTTACAAGCAGGAAAAATTAGAGATATAATATTAAAACAGGATTTAATACAGAATTTAAAACAGTGTAATACAAACATTTCTTCAAGTCCCTCAAGTTATAACATATTGACATCAATGGTGTTATATACTGACCTGTTGTATTGCTGACAAGAAAGGTGCAGTTATATCTCTGTATAGAGGATATTCTGCTTCTACAGTCTCTATGAACTTGTCCTGTGACCTTTCCCATAATTCCACTTCCTGTAGTGCAGTCATGTTTTTGGACGGTCTGTTTATCTGAGCTTTAAGTTTCTTCACAAGTTTGGCAACATTTTCAGTAGATGATACACTCTCCATAAAGTTTCGAATATCTACCACCAACTGATTATACTGTAATTAAAGAATAATGTTATAACTTATAAGTAAACTCCACACAAAGTTACTCTCAAACACTTTCATAGACCTCATTATTTAATTATATAAAACTTTGCCCAGTTTTATAATAAAAGCATTAAATGATAATCTAAATGAAAGTTCAATAAAGTTATCTACTCCATTGGCTACACAAGCATTTCTTTGAATCATGCAACAAGTCTTATCTTCGTGGCAATAATACATTACCTGTGATGGTGAAGGTCTGTATGCAACTTGTTTTTCCAGGTCCTCTATCTGAGCTTTCAGTTTATCAGACTGGTTTCTAAGGTACTGTACACGAGGGTGAACCAGTCCAGATGAAACTTCTAATAGGTCATGACCTGTAACCAGTCTATGGTGCATACACAATACTTCCAGCTCTGTATCAATATCTCCTAACTAAAAACATACAAAAAGGGTATTGTTTATAAATATAATATGAAATTAGGCAAAGCCTATGAACGGGGGAAGTCGTTAAAAAATTCCTTTCATTTTTCTGTTTTAACCCATTACTTCATATACACGCCTTTTAACGCCTTTTTCACCCCCCCCCCTTTTTGTTGTCTCAAATGATGGAAAAATGCCTTATTTAGGCCCCCAACACTTGTTTTTGTTTGAGAAATGTTGTTAAAAAAAGTGACCTCTTTTTCGGCGCGGCCCCCCAACCAAAAGATACATCAGGGGGTTGCCAGAAGGGGGATGTGCCCCCTTCTGTTTGGGGGGGTTTGAAGGGGGGCGGAGTCCCCCTCATCGCCAAGAAAATTTTGGACTTGTGAGAGGCTGTAAATGACCCCAGATTGATCATAAGGTAACGTGTAACCAACGCTGAAAAGCATTTGACTCTATCTCAATCCATTGAGAAGTTGCAGCACTTTGAAATCAATTTTGATGGAAAAAATCAACGCAAAATAGTGATTTTTGGCAATTTTGAGATGTCCCCTCGTTGCCATGGTAACAGACAATTTAAGCCTGAGCATGTTGTTGCAAGGGCAATGGTCCAGTCAACATTTGTGCCAAGTTTGATTAGTGTTGAAGCAGTTTTTATAGTATTATAGCAATTTGAACTTGTAACGGGAGACTTTTCAATGAAAACAGCCATTTTTCACAAAATGCTCATAAAGTAATGGGTTAAAGGTGTCATTCGGTATTTCATGCACCACTTCCGTTTTCACTCGGAACACTCGACTATTATTATTAAGCCGAAAAGTTGAGATTCGTTCTTTTGCCCTAAAACTGAGTGCACGGGAAAGTTAATGCGATAGTTGGCATGTTAGTTATTATAGTCTTGTCATTATACTGATTTTATTTTTCTAAAGAATCAGGACTAAAGCTGTTATAATGTTCTGCTAGCAGAAGTCCGTCATATTTTTTCAGCAAATACAAGAAGATTTTTGAGCTTCATCTAAAAGGCTTGACAGTGATTTAACTCAAAGAAGTTTTTTTCTATATTAAATTGGTCAAGCCTTAAAAATTCTGATAATCTGTAGGAATTTTTTATATTTTACTAGTAAATATTACCAACCTCGTCTCTTAGCAACTGTAGTTTTATTGTCACCTTCTCTACAGGATCTACAGGTCCCTGTGGTGCTAGCATTCTCATACTGAATTGTCCCAGATTAATCCACGCAACTCCCAGTGCACCTAAGTCATGTGACTGATCAGTTATCACAGCCTGCATGCTTGTACGAACATTGTTCAGTTGTTCACTGCTGGTTGTGTCTAGATGAGAACAACATCTTGTCAGAAGTTGATCAAGGTCTTCAAATGATTTCTGTGAGATATCTGATGTAGACAGTGTATCTAACATACGTGATAACTCTTGATCTGTGTCCATCAGAGGTTTGCAGGATTTCAGTGTATGTACCAACGATGCATATAGACTTGACATGTCTAGAGCTCTGCAAGAAAATGATGTTATAAAGATTTAAATCTATTTTATACAAAAACCAAAAAAAAAATATTGATCAGTTGAAAAAGATATAGTTAAAGAAACTGTTTTTCCCCCTATAAATTAAAATCAACAAAAATAAATTTTACTTACAAGCCCTCTTGGCATTTACTTTGACCAACAAATATTTAGGTCAACATGAATAATTGTTTTTATCATAGCTGCAGCATACTACCTCAACAAACATTGTGACATATGAACAGCATGGGAAGTGGAAAAATTACACCACACTCACAGTCTTCAGATTCTACCTTGGAGTAAATTGTTATCTCAAAACAATAAATAGAGGATATTAAATGAGTAAGTTTATTACCGTATTTCTGGCGAGCATAATATTATTTTATTAAACGAGTTCAATAAATTTAATAATGAGCTTTCCAAATTTAATATTCTATTTATCACAAACCCAAAATAAAGATTGTTTTGGGTGAAAAAGAACCATTTTTCATTGGCCCGACTTTAGTATAACGCTAATAAAGCACGTCATACGCTATGTTTATATACTGTAAATAACGTCACATCAAAATATATGTACGGACCTGCATTACCATTTTTAAGCAGTTGCAAAAGCAGCACGGTTATGTGATAAGAAACCAAATCTAATTTTTTGATTTCATTAAGAAAGGTTAGTGACTGACTATACTAACTGTGGTTGTTTATGACCGTCACTGTAATCTCCAACATGTGCCCAAATATGTCTGGATATGTGAGACATCTGAGTGATTTCCCTTGTGTAACTCTTCAATGGAGCACTGATCTTCACATTGGAGGGAATTGTCACGGTTACACTGTCGTCTGCTCTGGATAACAGGTTACTCAGCATGAACGACAATACAGCTTGATGCATGTTCAACTGAAATTTAAATGAATTATGAATGATTGTCATCTTAAAACAATGGTACACTTCCTAAAGGACTTTATTTAGTAGGGACAAAATCTACTAAAAACACATTACATTCTATGTTTAATTATACTTTACCAATTATTAAAAATTCTTTTATGAGAAAGAAAATTTCCTTTTCAAACAGGTTTTATTTAAAACATATTTGGCTATGTTAGCTTTTGTTTTTGGTACAGATATTACTGTACATAAGACAAACAATTCTGTCCAAAAATGAATGTGTGTTTGCACAATTTATTATTTATAATTCTTTGTACTTTTGTTATGAGATGATGCAAGAAATGTTTACCTTTTTACTACTGCTAATGTCTTCTGGGGCCTGCTTAGGTAAATCTGACCATTCTAGCCAGTATGTTGTATTGTTAACTGCACAACAATGTCTGATTCTATATAAAACATGCCTGACAGTGGCTGGTAGTGACACCTGTAACAAAAGATATATTTAATAAACAACATGTATATTAGTGATCTATACATGTACTTCAATACTTCTGTATGAAAGAATTCAATTTATTTGTTTCTGTATCTTTAATGTTTAAACATCATACTAATGTACATGGCGTCATATATATTAGACTTGTGTTTTATACCTGTAAATTTTCTGATGGATATACAATCATTTTCCACTGAAGAAATGCAAAATATACATTCATGTAATATTCTCCTTATTATTCATTTATTTATCAAAATTTTTATAACAGAATTCTTTAACACAATGAATTAAACAATACAATTTAAAAAATATTCGAAAAAATCTTTCATTCATACCTCTTTTTCATTTGTCATGTTCATCAGGAAGCTAAGGTCTGTAGGAGACATGGGTGTGAACTGTGCTGCATAATCGACCAATGACTGAGCTCTCTCATTATCTGACTGGGTCACACAAAGGTCACCAAGCATCCTCCAACTTCCCAGAATTGAAGAGTATTCAAACAAGGGCCATAACTGTACAAAGTCTAGAGGTAGCTGTATTTGCCTCTTGCTGTCATCTGATTTGTTACTTTGAGATTCAGCATCTGTTTCCATGGTAACTCCATCTGTTTCCATGTTAATAAGGCCATGGTCTCTAAGAAGTTCTTGTAATACATGAATAGCTTTCTCTGCAAACAAATGAAACTTTGTGATATTACAAATAGTATTTAAAATCAAAACATGTGTCAAAGGAATCAGCTTTTTCTACATTTATTTTATTTGAACATTTAATAATATTAATTTGCTCTGACAAACACATTTGCTTTTGTAGGTGTTTACAGTAATAATATCATATTTAAGTCTTGGATATTGTGTACATGACACAAATCTACAGGAGGTATGGGTTAAAGCATATTAGATGCTTTGAATTAGATTAGCCCCGGTCCTGCTGAACTTGTAAATGAACATGTTCTGTTTTGAATACAGGACAGTTTTTGTTCGAATTGGCAGGGTTTTAATGTCAAATTATAAAACTGAACATTTAACAATATTGATCCTAGTCAGCTGGGCTGGATCTTTATATAAGTGAAACAGTAAAGATTTTATCTCTGCTACCATAAGTAAGAATTAGTAAGGGTTTTTTACCTTTCATTTCAAGATCTTCATTTCCTGATCCTACCAGTAGACATTGGCAAGCTTCCAGAAGAAAGTGTTGTCTGCTTTGTATCAACTTCACCTTTGGTGTATTGAGGAGTTCTGACTTTGTACAACTAAAGTCAAGCAACTTGAACAGTCTGACAGCTTTAACTGTCAATTCTGCATCAGTTTCACTTGAATATGGGGCAGGATGACCCCATGACCTCCAGAACTTTATGAATAACTTCCACTTCCTGTCATCTTTCCCCAGAATTCCTTGTAGTATAGTAACAATGGGTGACACATTTAGACTATCACTGAAAAACAAATAAGCTACACTTAAAAACCATGATTTTTTTTAGAAACAAAATTGTCTTTTGTGATTGAATTACATATAAAAATGTTACCAACTGTTCAATCAACTTATCAAATACTAAATGAATGAATAAATTAAACCATCATAATGTACCAACTAAGAATAACATTTTACTTAATCACCAAGAGAGTAAGACTTCAAACAAATCATTTTATGAAAACTCCTCATCATTAAAACCAATTATCATTTCACTATTACTATACCTTAAGTTTCCAAGGGAACCATCCAACAACTTCTTGTGTAGCCATTTCCAGAAGAGTGCCAGTCTAGAAGCTGCCTCAGGACTGTGTAACGTGGTAGCAGCTGATTCATACAGCCTGTATATCCATTGTAACCCTTCCAGTACCTGTAACATATTCAAAACAGTAACTTAATCTTTATCCTAGTGAGTTTGTGCGATAGACTTGATGCTTCAAATTTTTGTTTTGTTTGTTAGGTCTTAAGGGGCACCAACAAAATCTAGGTCATATGGAGCCAAAACAGGAAAGATACAAACTTAAAGCAACACCAGGGGTGAAACCACCTCACCCGCTGGAGCTAAGAGATGCATAGACTACAGTAATTTCAAAGCCATTTAGCTGCCTCTTACAATCACGCAGGGTTGAATGGTGGCTACAATTCTGATGCCTAACCCCGTAAAGGCAACCCCCCAGCCACAAAGGGAAGCTGCTTCAAATTTAAAAACTTAAGAAATTTCAGTTATGAGAATATTAAAATTAAGTAGCTATTGAGTATTGAGCAAGGTCAGGCTGAACAAAAATGAATTTCATCTGTCAAAACTAAAAACATAGTCAAAGCCAATATAACTGTAAGCATTCTATGTATGTTAAGCATAAACAAATATACACTGTTTGATGTCAATTCTTTATCTCAACCATAGAATAAAGGTAGATTAAAGTTCAGAAAACAATTTATGTGAAACAAATGTGTGAACTAAAATCAATAAAACATTGTCCAAACTCTAAACTAGAACTATCACTAAATGTGATTAATACCCCCGCAAGACTGCTTTGGAAATAAGGAAGTTACTAGTCACTAGTTACTAGTAACGGAATACCTTGCAAAAGAATTGAAATACAGTTATGGTTATGGGCAATTAAAGATAGTTGTGGTTCCTGTATGTTGCATTTGCTTTTAATGTGGTTGACTATTGATGAAGTTTTATTGAATTACTCTGTAATAAGTCCAGAAAGAGTTACGCTTCTTGAGCACTGCACTTCCCCTCATTGCACTTGACCATTGTATGAAGTTGCATTAAATATTAGTTTTTAAGTTATGCACCGGACAAGGAAAAGAACAAAGGGCAATAACTCTACAAATACTGAAAATGGAGTTATGTTTATTTTTACTGCACTTCCTCTCATTGCCCTTTACCATTGTATGAAGTTGTACTGAATTCCAACTACTAGTTTTCAAGTTATGCACTGGACAAAAAAAGTAACAAAGGGCAGTAACTGTAATTTGTCCAAATAGAGTTATGGTTCTTGTGCACTGCACTTCCTCTCATTGCCCTTTACCATTGTATAAAGTTTCATTGAATTCCAACCATTAATTTATGCACTGGACAATAAAAAGTAACAAAGGGCAAAAACTTTTAAATGAGTCAAGAAAGAGTTATGGTTCTTGTGCACTGCACTTCCTCTTATTGTGCTTGACCATTGTATGAAGTTGTTTTGAATTCCAACCAGTAGTTTTCAAATTATGCTCAGGACAAGGAAAAGTAACAAAGGGCAATAATTCTGTAATTAGTCAAGATAGAGTTATGGTTCTTGTGCACTGCACTTCCTCTCAATGTGTTTCATCATTGTATGAAGTTATATTGAATTCCAATCATTAGTCTTCAAGTTTTGCTCCGGACAAGGAAAATGCAACGGACCGCTGGACCGACCGACTTACCAACCGACCGACTGACCACCGAGTGACTCCTATATACACTATAAAAACTGTACTAAACAAATACAACTCTTTAAATTTTTGGACCAAACACCAAAGGAAATTTCACTAATTATCATCTAAACGTAGGAAAAAAAAAATTAAAATACAATTAAAGTCATGTGTGAACACAGAAATTATGACACTTTTCTCTTGCAATAATATTTTCAATTCTTTAAAAAAAAAAGTAATACCGTTTTTCCAATTCTTTTAAAAAAAAAGTCTCAAAAATTTTGATCAATAATTTCATTGTTAAAATAGAAATGATTTTATCTCCCCTTGGAATGTGCCTTACTGACAAGCTATCACATGTTGAAACAAATTAGAAAGTATCAAAGACACAAAAAAGGGACAATCCGTGAGAAAGTGAGGCACAAGAGTGGTTATTAATTTCTCAAAGTTTTAAGAAATTGCCAATTCCACCGTTCAAACACGCCAAACTTGACAAAATGTCAGAGGCAGTCTATTTCAAAGACAATGTCTCTTTATAACGCCTGTTTCTATCACTGAATATATTGATTGACAATAAATCAACAATAAATCCAATTACAAATTGCCTTTGCAATCTAGATTGGACTGTAATTGTCCGTATCACTGTAACAAATCAGTTTATGCACGATTCACTTGTCCATAAAAAACAAGCAGGCAAATTGACAACTGGAATTAGATTGTTTCAGCTATCAATATTAGCTAACAAGTCTATATTTCTAGAGGATAAGGCAATTACCTCATAACTTATAGTACACCAGTCATTGCTAAAATATAGATAGATAAGGAAGATATTTAATATGAAAAACTTTTTTAACGATTTCAAAGTGTACAAGTGTATGAGTAGAGTGCCTCTTTAAATGGATTTAACAGGGAAATATAAAAGACATAATGAATAGGACTTCAATTAACACAACCGTATCCGGAAAACATTGCACAATAAAGACATTTAAACGACTTTCATTATTTAACAGAATTGTATCTGGGAAATATTGCACATATTGCACCATAAAGACATTTATAGAACTTCTACTCATTAAGAGTGCTTTATTCTCTTGAAAATACACTAACAGAACTTTATAAGAAGTGCCGCAATGACCAAGTTTTGATGTGAGAGCAATCAATAGGTCAAAGTGCAATGAAGTTATTCAGAGTAGAAACTGAAAATTCTATTGTAAACAAATGACCTTGACCTTACTCCAAGATATCTAACTGCTACACAACAAGTTTGGTGTCAAAAGGTCAAAGCAAACTCAAGTTATTATGTGAAAACTGAATACATTCACCATGATCAGACACCTGGGTAGCAAACAAAAACTGCCTCTTGATATGAACTACCCATACATCAACTTTAGTGTCAATAGGCCAAAGCAAACTCAAATTATTGAGGGGAAACTGAATTTCTTTTTTTAGTAACAATGACCTTGACCTTGACCACTGACACCTGGGTAGCAATCCCAAGCTGCCTCTTGATATAAGCTACCCACACATAAAGTTTAGCAATCCTAAGCAGATAAAAGCTACCCATACACCAAGTTTGGTGTCAATAGGCTAACGCAAACTAGCAGAAACTGAATTTCTATTTTTAGTAACAGTGACCTAGATCACAGACACCTGGGTAGCAATCCCAAGCTGCCTCTTGATATAAGCTACCTCCACATAAAGTTTGGTGTCAATAGGCCAAAGCAAACTAAAGTAATTGACCGAAACCGAAAGTTGACGCCTGCCCGCCCACCCCCTGTCTTCGGCATTATAATAACCCTGTTTTCGTTCAAAACCTTATAATTGAGAACTTATCAAGAAAATATTGCATCATAAACACATAACAGGAATCTGATTATCAGAGCTATCAGGAAAAATATGCACCATTAACACATTCATAGGACTTCCACTAACAGAGCTGTATCCAGGTAATATTGCATCATAAACACAATCATAGGACTTCTATTTACAAAGCTATATTTGGGAAATACTGCATCATAAACACATTCATAGGACTTCTAATTACAAAAGCTACATTTGGGAAATATTGCATCATAAGCAAAATAGGACTTCTATTTACAATGCTAAATTTGGGAAATACTGCATCATAAACACATTAATAGGACTTCTATTTACAAAGCTATATATGGGAAATATTGCATCATAAACACATTAATAGGACTTCTATTTACAAAGCTATATATGGGAAATATTGCATCATAAACACATTAATAGGACTTCTATTTACAAAGCTACATTTGGGAAATATTGCATCATAAACAACATTAATAGGACTTCTATTTACAAAGCTATATTTGGGAAATATTGCATCATAAACACATTAATAGGACTTCTATTTACAAAGCTATATTTGGGAAATATTGCATCATAAACACATTAATAGGACTTCTATTTCCAAAGCTACATTTGGGAAATATTGCATCATAAACACATTAATAGGACTTGTATTTACAGAAATACTGCATCATTAACACATCAATAAGAAAACAAAGTTATATTTGCGAAATGTTGCATTCATAAACACATTAAGATGATTTTGATTATAATCAGGACTAACCATGCAGTCATATTATAGTTACACTGAACTGACTACTAATATTTCCTATATGCTGACTGAGAAAGCTTCTTATACCAGAATAAGCAAAAGTTGTACAAAAAGCAACATATTTTACGATTGTATTATTTCACAAAAAGTTACTATTACCTTTGTAGCAGTTTCAAAACTTGGAATTTCTGTATTTTGTAGAGTTTCAGTAACAGCAGACGTTAACAAAGGGAACAGCGCCACCAAGTGAGCAACAGCTTCATGTGTTGTCTGCTTGCCACGACTTTTGTCTGAAATTAAATTTGCATAAAATTTAAGCTACGTTTAAAAATCAAAGCTTGCTATCGATTCAACATTATTATTTTCAATGCCACAACAAACTCAAATAATCCTAACCCTAAGGGTTTAATGTGATGCAATATCACAAAATAACAACTACATGTATCAGGAAAAGGTCTCGTAAGACTGCATGGCGGTACAGACAAACATTGCTCTATTATAGTGGCAAACAATATATATTTGTGTTATAACGCAGATTAATTTATGTTATGGGTCGGATTCATCAAGGTGCGTCTAAATACAAAGACTGAAGTTCCTAGATGCATTCTGATTTAATGGCCAGCTTTTTTAATGTTTTGTTATTAAAGGATGCAGACAGACCTTGACTGTGACAGATTTGCATAAGTCATCATTTTTGATAGCACTCTTAGGACTAATGCTCAAAAAGAATCAAAAGCTTTCTTCAAGAATTTCTAAACATTAAAAGAAACTGTGCATAAATGGTATAACATTATGTGATATAACGATTGTTTATCATTTATTTTTCATAAGACAAAAAACCAGAATTTTACAGCAGAGACTGATTGGTTCTCTGATATTGGAATATAAATCACCAACAATGACCATGATAAACTACTTCAACTTTCTATATGACGATAAACTTGTTCTTAAATACTTCCTGATATTGTCATCAATAATGAGAAAGATTTGATGAGAATTTTGTGAAATCCTCCACAACCAATCATTTCTTGTAGCTACACATGTACACTGTACGGTCAATGGGAAATGAAGAGGTTCTGGGGATAACAATTCTTTTTAGTTCTGGGCAAAAAATTGTATACATCCCTACAAAGATTAGGTAATAGATCAACTTTTCTTTTCTAGCAAGTATTGACTATTTTAGCTATCTGGAGTATCTGATATATGCTTTTTTGTTTCCTTTTCCTGAAAAATATTTTGCTCACAGTCAGTGTTCCAAATAAAAGTCACCAATATTTAGTTTTAGTTTAATAGTATTTTATTGTATAAATATACACACAATATACAATTTCATAATTTTACAGACATACAAAAGGGTTGGGCCAAAAGTTCTAACAACATTATCGTTGGCCCTTCCCTGAGGTTAGTCAGAAATAAGTTTCAATATTTCAATTCACTAAAATAAAAGGTTCAGTGTCAACTGCTTATAAAGTGTGAATGGTTTATAGAGGATATTGAATGAGTGTAAGTTCAATACTGAATTTATTGCACAAGTTGAATAAAATATTATTTTATTTAACGAGTGCAATAAATTCAGTAATGAATTTACACGAATTTAATATTCTATTTATCACATACCCAAAATAAAGGCCGTTTAAAGTGAAATAAGAGTCATTTTTCATTGACGCGTCTATAGTGTAACGCTAACATTTAGTGCGTCTTTACACTATGTTTGTATAACGCTAATGACGTCACGTCAAAATATATGCACGGTTGTGCAATACCATATTTACGGAGTCACAAAATCGGCATGGGTGTGTGATAAAACAACTTATGTCAGCATCATTAATCTTGAAAGAAGCTACCATGGAAAGAAGCTAACATGGCAAGATTAACTACAAATTTACCTTTTACCTGTCTTGGATTTCGCTCACATTTACTGCAAAGCTACCTCCCACAACCATCAATCAATATTACTGGTAAATTTTCTTGGTAAAAATATCTGACATACACCTTTTAAGGGCTTTGCATCATCATCTAATGAAACTTTCTTCACTAAATGCCATTTGCAATACAATATTTATTTCAGCTATTGAATTTTGAGTGCAAACTGATAGGACAATACAAGAGAACAAATTGCTTGACAAGTTTTTGTTGAGTAGACAGCAAGCTGTGGAACTTGAGGCAAATAATTGGATAGATTAATGTGTAATGATCCGTCATTGAACAAACATTTTTTATTGATTACAACATTGAATTCTTGTTATAAGAATGGGCTGAGAATAATAGAATTTCCAGGGGTCTGCCTGAATTTTATATTTCACTAACAGAATCCTCTGTTTGTAAATTGTGCATTAATTTTTTTATTTTGTATTAAGTTTATTTGCAAAGAACTTGTTTTGGGCTGTAGCGTGATAGAAAATAATAGAATTCCAGGGGTCTGCCTGAATTTTATTTTTCACTGACATAAGCCCTGTGTTTGTAGAGCTTTCATATAAACTGTGCATTAATTTTCTTTTTATTTTATTTTATATTCAGTTTATTTGCAAAGAACTTGTTTTTGTTGACATTGTCTGGACCAGTCATTGATCACTGTTGCTGGAATCATTACAATGTGACACATTAGAAAAAACTGCCGCAATTAATTCTGAAATGCAAAACTTGTGTCTATATCACAAAGGTCAAAGTCATTAAAGGTCAAGGTCACAAGGGAGGGCTTTACAGCAGCATGTAGGCATCAAATTTTAATTTGGTAAAAAATGAGAATTATTTATCTTCAAACCACAATAATTAGATTTTCCTAAGATTACTATTTTTTATTACTGCAATATATACATGTATTCTTAAAAATGTAGGAAAATTTAAAAACTATCTTAAATGCACAATAAATAGGTTACAAAATTATCTGAATATTTTTACTTCTGTTTTTGTCTGTTTTTGTTGTTGTTTTTTTAATTTTATCAATCTCATTACAATTAAAGATCTCTGTACAAATAATATATATGGTAATTAAGCAACTAACTAAAGATATTTAACCACATTATAGATAATAGATGAATACTACCAAAAGAGTAAATGTTATTTTTCTCTTTTGAGAAATAAATGCTATATAAAACCCTAAAAAATGGAATAATTACTGGTCATTTATTGCTTCTTGTTGTATCTGATTCTCATCAAATATTCCATCATTTAATAACATAATTATAAAGTTTTGCTGGACTTTCTTGTTGTTACAAAAATCCCCACTCTATCTAGGGGCAAATCATCACATACTGTGGCTCTTAAAATTGTCTCTTAAAGGAACTCCACTGTGACGCAAAAGCCTAAAAACATAAATTTGAATTTCTGACATTGATCAACTAAGGCATTTTTTGGGTCATTTTTCACAGTAAGAATAATTATATTGGAAAAATGGAATGAGCTAATGATCTGAAATTTGTACAGAAGTTATTGATCTACTCATTTATCTTGAAAAATTATTTCCTGTCCTGTCATGTCAAAAAACCTCAGTGCAGTCCCTTTAAAGTAAACATGAAATTGGCACTTTAAGTAAGCATAAGACAGACCCCTATTATATATGTAAATAGAATGAGAAATGTATATTGAGTTTTCCAAAGTTCTTGAAACTCTGTTTGATAGTATTTGCAATGGCAGATTTTCATTGGCTGCAATATTGAACGTATTTATAAAGTAATTTATAAATCATCCGTCAATCCTAATTGCCAATATGAGGGAATAAGGAAAATTACCGTATTTTAGGTGGACTGGTTGGTTGACAGAAGGAATGGAAGACATGTCTGGTTTTAGAGATAAGCAAGTAGCTGAGAATTAATCCAGTATAGATTCTTAATTGATTGGCAATGATGAATGTGCATATTACAATTTGCAAATATAGTCTGACAGTCTCTTTAAATCCTTACCATGCTGAAATATCTTAAATGGACTTGTCCATCTTTCAATCTGGATAAAACCATTCATCATTTTTAGGTAAATAGTGCATACCATGATTACATGGCATGGATGTTATCTAATTATTAGGGCAGTTGGGATGCATGTTAGCAGTGACATTTACTAAAATCTGCCCAAAAAGGATTGTTTTAAATTAAACTTAAAGGGACTTCACTGATGCTTTTTGACATGATGCTTTTCACGCTAATAATAGCACAAAAATACAATTTTTAATTTTTCTAAGTATATTTTTTAATTATCTTCTATAGGGTATCCTGGCTTGTAATTCAAATTTTACACTTTGGACCTCAGTGGAGTTCCTTTAAGGAGGCCTTGAAATACCAAACGTTAATGCATTTGTAAATGACAATATCTGCGTAGATACAATCTTAACCAGGATATCTTTTGCAGTTCTGTATTTCCTAGAAGATAAAATTTGATTTCTGAAAAATTTATGATCATTGTCTAGTCAACATCTGATTAATTAAATATTTCAGTTTTTAATTTACTACCACCAGTCATTTCATTTTCTGAGATAATATAAAGAAAGTCCATATAGATTTATCTAAGAAATTCCAGTTGACTTTAAACATTTTTACACAGACAACAATTGGCTTTACATTTTCTCAAGTGAAAAATGATCTTTTTACATGATGGAAAGTGGAGTAAAAACTTTGTTATAAATTCTGACAAAGAAGTCAGCCGTATGATTTTAAAAGCTATTCATTTTAAGATGCTTTTAACTTAGTCAAGTCTTAGGAGAATATTTTTTGTAATAAGATTAATTTAAATGTTTTCTGTCATTTTCTTGGGATAAAAAAGATGAGATTTTAAGTTTCGATTTGCAAACAGTGCATATAGTCTTCTGAGTGTGTGTAATGAAGCGAAAATATATTATTTGATTGTAAAACTTGAACATTTTGTTTAAAAAAATGATACTTTCTCTTTTTTGTTTTTCATAATATATACCGGTACACATTTAAAGCTGCATGCCTCCAGATGAGCCAAAATATTTCAAAAATTCAATCTTTAGCAAAAAGTTATTAAGAACTTAAGAAAAGTAAAATGATTCAATATTTAATTAATTATTTACATGTTATGTGCGATTAATGAACGATTTTGCAGTATCAATCACTATAATTCTACTGCGTTACTAACGCAGTAAGAGATATTTATGTGTATTTTGACCAGTCTTTTTGGTAATTTTCTTGGATTGTAAGTGCCGTTTGCAATGTGTATATAATACATTCTTTGTTCACTTCACAATATTTTAATTTTAAATACATTTTCAAAATTTTCATGAAAATTAGCATGAATCTGGAGAAATGCTGCTTTAATATATTAAACAATGATTATCATGAAT